GCTGGGGCTGGCTGGACATCCAGCATCATGTAGAGGGAAACAAGGTTCTCAGCCCTGCATTACAGGATGCCATGCTCAAAGTATGTAATTCTTTCGAGAAATTTGTTTTTTTTAAAAAAATCATATTTATTAAAAGTTTAAAAATTACAGAAAAAAGAAAAAAGACAACAATAAAAAAAAAACATAGAAAAGCAATACAACAATACAGCAAAAAGAAACAAAGGGGGAAAAAAACTAAAACACACATCCAATATTCCATGTCTTTACCTTTCCTTTACTTGTTTCATCGACCTCCTGACACCTCCCTTTTTTTGTATTCTAGTTCAATTCACTATTTCAGCAAATTCTTCCCATCTTTCTCAATTTTTTTTCTATAATTTATCTTAACGATCTAACCTTAAATTTTTTCATTTTAACCCGTTATCAATCAGCTTTTACTTAATTCTTTGTTGCATTTCTACTAAAACCATATAACTTCATTCCAGCATCCTTCTAACACTCATTAATTTTACAATGTTTCTGTAAGTATACTTTGAATTTTTTCCAATCTTCTTCCACCGACTCTTCTCCCTGGTCTCGGATTCTGCCAGTCATTTCCGCCAGTTCCATGTAGTCTCTTTCGAGAAATTTGTTCCTGTTCCATTTACAGGAAATGTATAAACACAGCTCTTTGGTTTCCTGTTTGCAAAGGCGTACAGAACTCAGAGGAGGCATTCTACCATGTAGGAGAGATCAGTGATGTGATCATCTGACTTTTTTAAAAAAACAGCAGCAACTTTAAATAAGTTGTGTGGGGCTCTGGTTTTGAGTGGGGAAGTAGTGTTCACAGGAGATATGGCAGGTATTTGTAGAATTTGTACTGTTAAAACGGAAACGGGTCAAACCATCGCAAGAGGTTGGATAGTTACAATGGAATGGTCTCAGGGGTAGGCTGCACATTTTTATTTTTTTATTTTTATTATTACTTTGTCAATAAAATAAACCACAAAATCGGAAGGGGGAGGGGAAAGTAGTGTTCAGAGGTGGGGCTTCTGTGACTCATGCTTATTTTCCATCCCTTGGCGTTCCTGGTAAGTGGGGTGGGGGTTAAGACAAAGGTTTCGATATTGTGCCTGTCTCTTCTTATTGCATGGCTAATAGCATCTTGAAGTGTGTATAGCATTCCTCCTCTGATACATTCAAGAATAAATAATCTTTCATGCTTCATAATAACTACAAATTATTAGCAAAGTTTATCAGCAAAGGGCAGATAACACACTCCCCTCTTTTTAAGACAAGGGATTTTCTTACTTTGAATGGCATAGTAATAATTATACTACTACTACTACTACTACTACTACTAATGTTATTATTTGTATCCCGTCCATCTGGTTGGGTTGTCCCAGCCACTCTGAGTGGCTTGCTGCTTATATAAAATCAGACATTAAATGCTTTCTGATACAGAGCTGCATTCAGATATCTTCTAAAAGTTGTATAGTTATTTATCTCCTTGACATCTGAAGGGAGGGTGTTCCACAGGGCGGGGACCACCACCGAGAAGGCCCTCTGCCTGGTTCTCTGCAACCTCGCTTCTCACAGTGAGGGAACTGCCAGAAGGCCCTCGAAGGAGGACCTCAGTATCCAGGCAGAACGATGGGGGTGGAGATGCTCCTTCAGGTCTACTGGGCCGAGGCCGTTGAGGGCTTTAAAGGTCAGCACCGGCACTTTGAATTGTGCTCAGAAACATACTCGGAAACCAAGCAGAAACATGAGTCAGCAGTTCACTATGGTGAGCTGCATTGCATTTCTGTTTAAATTATAGCAATAATTTCCAAATTGGCATCAATACATATAAATTAGAACTTGCAAATATCAAGCAAATATGTGCTATATCCTTTGACCTCTTTTATGGTTGCTGTGTTTCCTCTCTTCTGGCAAATTGTAAATGACCTTAAGAACATAAGAGACCTGCTGGCCCAGGCCACCAGCTCATCTAGTCCAGCATCTTGTTCTCATAGTAGCCAACCACATCACAGAATCATAGAATTATAGAGTTGGAAGGGACCCCTAGGGCCACGAGTCCAACCCCCTACAATAGGAAACGTGACAAAAGATACTTACACCTTCCAATGATCCATGCACATATCCTTGAAGGGACAGCTGTGTCGATGTCAGAACTGCTCGTTATAATATTTGAAAACTGATGTTAGCTTGGCAGCCTATGAAAAAGCAAATATATTTGTGAGAAGCCCACAAGCAAAATCCAAGTGCAACGCTTCTCTCCCCAGCCGCTCAGTGTGTAGAGCAGGGGTCATCAAACTTTTTCAGCAGGGGGCTGGTCCACTGTCCCTCAGAACTTGTGGGGGGCCGGACTATATTTGGGAGGGGGGAATGAATGAATTCCTATGCCCCACAAATAACCCAGAGATGCATTTTCAATAAAAGCACATACTCTACTCAAGTAAAAACACCAGGCAGGTCCCACAAATAACCCAGAGATGCATTTTAAATAAAAGGACACATTCTACTTGTGTAAAAACACCAGGCAGGTCCCACAAATAACCCAGAGATTCATTTTAAATAAAAGGACACATTCTACTTGTGTAAAAACACCAGGCAGGTCCCACAAATAACCCAGAGATTCATTTTAAATAAAAAGACACATTCTACTTGTGTAAAAACACCAGGCAGGTCCCACAAATAACCCAGAGATGCATTTTAAATAAAAGGACACATTCTACTTGTGTAAAAAAACACTGATTCCAGGACCGTCCACAGGCCGGATTTAGAAGGTGATTGGGCCAGATCCGGTCCCCGGGCCTTAGTTTGCCTACCCATGGTGTCAAGCCTATGAGTTGATACATCTAATGGCCAGCATGGAAGGAAAAGAAATATGTGAGATGCTTAGGCAAGGCTTAGCCATGTCTACCTGAAAAGAAGTGAGATGGCTGACAACTTGGCATCCCACTTTGTTCATTATTAAATTGATATCCCACCCTCCTCTGATACATCCCTACCCTCTCTCCCAAAAGGAGCTCAGGCTGGCAAATGCAGACGACTCCATCACATGTGGGTTCACAACAGGATTGTTTTCCCTCACCCCCCTAAATGCCTCTGATTCTGGAACCAGAAACAAAATTAACTTAGACTGCAGACCTATACACACTGCAGGGGTAAATTCCATTGAACTTTCTGGTAGCAAGGGAGGTGTGTGTTGTGCGAAGAAATGATTCCAGCAAGCGCAGCTTTCCCTACCCCACAACAATAAGCTGCTTAAATGCTCTCTTATGCCCAACTCTTGCAGATACAGGAGCTGTCTTGCCCCATAGTCATGTATTTTAATTTTTTTAGCAACCCTAAAAAAGAGGCAAATCAGCAAAACGGGGTCCTTGTACTTCTGGAGGAGTGGCTGGCTGAGAATGTCGTGCTTCTTTAGGGGAAGGGGCGAATCTATTTTTGACTGCCATTTGTTAGCAAGTCAAGCATTTTCTTCTAAAAATATGCCCAGCTCTGACGTCCTGGTGGGTGCATTCTAAGAATGCAGTGATGTCTTTAATGTAGGAAAGCACAAGCCCGGTCATCTATGCTAACCATGCTGTTTTGGACACATGTTGTGGAGAGGGATATCCAGTTTTCTCGATTTCCCTGCCCACCAGCATATGATGTCCTTGCACTTAATTCCTCCCCACACTTTTTGTTGGTTTGTTTCTAAGCAAGCAGGCAATTAGATTTCACATTAAACTGAGCAAGCATTGATGGGGTTTTGTATGCTACAGTGCATCGTATTGTTCTGTGCATGTGAAATATGAAACAGATGGCCAAGGGAGCCCAGGAAAAAAGTGTGTATGTGGGGGGGGGGAGAGGGAACTTGCTGTGCCCTTTTTAATAAGACCTTAATGTTAAGCGAAGTGGCAGTTAAGTGCTTTCTCAAACACAACTTTTATGATTACTGTTTTCTTTATAAAAAGACAAAATGTGTGTGTGTGTGCTGTGTTTGCATAGTTTTCACTGCAAACTAATGCCATTCAGTTACTGAATTATCACGGCATGTTTCCCATGCAGTTGTTTGCTCGGAGCAGAACAGTGCAATGAGACAGAGGATCCCCTAAATGCATCAGGATCTCAACCTATACATTTGTTCACTTACTGCAATAGTCACATCAGGTACCCTGCCCACTTCTGTCCCTAAGTACCCCTGTCATGTATCCATCAGAAGTTTGCCCATGAGCAAATGTAGTTGGGGGGAAAAAAGGATGCTCACCACCCTGGTCTCTAGGCAACCTTCGGCCCTCCAGATGTTTTGGCCTACAACTCCCATGATCCCTAGCTAACAGGACCAGTGGTCAGGGATGATGGGAATTGTAGTCCAAAACATCTGGAGGGCCAAAGGTTGCCTATGCCTGCTCTTGTGGGAGTCATAAAGCCACGGTAAAGGCTTGTAATATTGCAGGGTGCCCCCTGACCTCGGCTGACCAGCACTCTGAGCTTTACAATGTATTGGAATGTATTGGAGTTGTGTTTCCTCTGGGCAGTGATGACCCTATATGGTGTTGGGGGCAATAAAAGCCTTGACCGGATGAGGTAACGTGAGACATTGGCAAACGGCCATGCGGCTGGAGAGAGACAAAGGATAATAAAGAAGCTACAGGGGGAGAGGGAAGTTCAAAAGGAGCTGCTCATACCATCCTGAAAATATTGCTGGCTCTCTGTGTCTTTATTTTATGCTAAACTCCGCCACTTGTAACAGCTGGCTCCGACATGCTCTAGACCATCTTGATTGGCTTCTCAGTTACTATGCATGGGCCTCAATTTGCCAAGTACTGCAGACCCCCCCTCTCCCATTTTTCAAAAGCCAAGCCATGGACCCCCTACTTTTGAAATGTTGATTTTATGTGAATGGTGCCACAGAACCCCCTGGGTGGGTTATGCAGACCCAGGGGTGGAGGAAGGGGGGTGCAGTGGGGGTGGGTCACCCCGGGTGTCACCACTTAGGAGGTGACAAAATGGCGGGCGGCACTCACCGTGCGGCCTGCAGTGCGCCCGAGCCACACGTCTCTCCTGGGAGTGACATGGTGGCTTGGGCGCGCGCTGGCTCCATGCTGCCTAAAAGGTCCACCTGCGGCTCCCCCCCCCCAGCTGTAGGGCGGCCAAGTGAGAGGAGGGCGGCAGACTCCTCAGAGGCCCCACGGAGCATCTTGCCCCAGCTCGCCCCACCCCACTGGTAGCTGGCCACGCCCCTGGGCACAGGACACACGTGCCGCCCCAGGCGCCCAATCAGCTTGCTCCACCGCTGTGCAGACCGCCCCCACGGCATACGTGGACCACCAGTTGGGAACCACCGCCTTAGAAGATGTTAGAAACTTAGGCTGCCCACTGATAGACACTTCATTGGAGTAAGCTCCACTGGTCATAGTATCCTTTATTTCTGAGTAAATCAGGGTTGCTATACGTCCAGAATTATGTCCATAATTTTTATTCTGCACATCCGCCCAGGGATGTTTGTACTTAGGAGATAGGATGTTGCCTTGTATGGAGTCAGACCATCACCTTGTCGAGTCATGTCTTTACCTTTACCTTTTTCAGACCCAAGACTCACCTTTAGGTCAGCCCAAACATGCATTTGGGGTCTCGTTTCTTAATTTAAAAAATGGATTTGTATGATGGTAGTACAGATTAGGTCATCTAGCAGCTGGGTCCCTGCTTTACCTGAAATCACTTGAGATTGAACCTGCGACTCTTTTGCAAGAGAGTATGTGCTTTGCCACTGAGCTACATCCTGTCACTTTGATATAGCCTTACTGCCTTGGGGTATCTTTTCTAAGCTCAGCTGCTTTGCATGTCCTGTTATTTAGGAAAATCATTCAAAATGTTGTCTCCTTTTTTTTTATTAAAGGGAGAAAGATGCATGTGAAATCCTCTCGAACTCATTTTGCTTGTGATACTGAATAGCATTCAAATGAGAATGATCTTCCCAAATTTTTTGTTTTTAATTTTTTTTTTTGCAAGCTTGCCCAATCCAGCTGTATATTTTATATGCTAATCTAAATTCTATTTTTGTTCCCCTTGGGGGTTTTAAGTGATTATAATTGTTGCTCTTCAAAAGCCAAACAGATGATGATTGCTGCTTCAGGAATATACCAAAAAGAAACTGGCTTTCATTAAACCTGCTCATCCCTCTTTGTAATTATCCCTATTTTATCTCACTAAGAAGCGGGAGGGAAATGGCAAGTATAGTTCAATGAAGGCACTTTGGTTATTTAAACACTGCTTTTATTGAGCTAACAGGGGGCGTTAAAGGGGAATTTCCAGGAGGAGGAACTGTAGCCTATAGCCCAGTTACCTTTCCACTGGAGACTAGAGAACCCTGAGTCAGCTTAGAATGTAGGCCAGCCAAGAATACTGCAGGACAGATGCCCCTTTTCAGCATCTCTGGAAAGAAAGAAAGGGAAGGAGGGGAGAAGAGAGAATTTGTTAAGTCCAACCTCATAGATATGGCTATGATAGCAGACTGACAGATGTTTTGCAACACATCTTCCTGCCTGCCTGCTCTGCTGGAAGTTGCCTTATAGTAAGCAGCGCATCATTATGGGAGTCAGAGGAGAGAAAAGAGATGCAAGGGTTGGCAGACAGGATACTTTGAGTATTTCTGGACAGCCCATCCTGATTTGCTTGCAGGGAGATGAGATAGTGTTGGCTATTTCCAAGCCTCCGTTCTGATTTGTTTGTATCAAAGGAAACATGATCTAACTCGCCAATTTCTTTCCCTATCTGATTTTGGGGGGATTAGCAGTGTTTCTGTGTGTGTGTTCAAGGCCTCCCAATCAGCTATAATTGTACAACCTGAATTTCCAAGTGTGTGACTGAATCTCACCCAAAAATAGTCACAGTGCCCTGCAAGTGAAGAATAGTTTAGAGCACAACAGGCTTCCTCCATTTTGTCAAATCTTGCTTGGGAGACTGAACAACATGCAGATTTTTTTTAAAAAGGAATTAAGTACAGCTAGTGTTTGATTTCTCAAAAAAGAGAGGACCATCTCGAAACATGACCCTCTGATCTGCTCCTTGTTCCTCTCCAAGTGGGGACTCATTGCAGTTTCTCAGTCGTGAGAGAAATGTACTTTGGGTCTGTTCAGGGACGCTGTCATTTCTTCTCCCTTTGCAACTTAGAGGGCCTGTTTATTGAGCATTCATCCTGATTGCCTTCTGCAAAACTTCGCCTGAGGCGAGGCAATGTCCGCTCTTTTTTTTTTTGTCAAGCTTTCCTAACTGCAAAAACCACTTTCCTAATTGCAAAAATGTAAGTGGTTAAAAAAAAAAAAGTGGGTTTGTTGCAACTTTAAACCACTTTAAATAAACCTACGGTGCATTTCTAGGTATGCAATTGGATCCTTCCGGGGGGGGGAGTTAAAGTCTGGTGGTGAACTCGGATTTGGCAGTGGCACTGAAAACAGTTGTTGGGGCTGTGTCCTATTCAGGGGTGGAGGAAGGGGTGTGTGGTAGGGGCGGCTCACACTGGGTGTCCACACAGAGGGGGGTGACAAAATGGTGGGCGGCACTCACCGCAGGGCCTGCAGCAGGCCCGAGCCACACATCTCTCCTAGAAGTGACACGGTGGCTTGGGTGCCCGCAGGCTCCACATTATACCCCAAGCGGTCTGCCCGCTGCCTCCCCCTCAGCTGTAGGGCGGCTGAGTGGGAGGAGGCAGGCAGACTGCTCAGAGGCCCCACAGATCGTCTCGCTCCAGCTGGCCCCGCCCCCGTGGGTGGCTGGCCCCACCCCTGGGCACAGGGCTTGCATGCCGCCCCAGGCGCCCAGTTGGCTTGCTCCACCGCTGGCTGGTGGACCCCATACTGAGGGCTTCCACAGGGGCAGCAGTGGGAAGCTGTGAGCTGCCGTTTAAAATTTCCCACAATGCCCTGGAAGTACCCAACAAAGCATAACAAAGGATGCTATGGGGGATTTCAAAAGATGGCTTGTAAACTTGGCCTTTTGGCACAGGGGACGCAGGATAGGTGGCAGAAGCAGTGGGCACTTCTGGGGCACTAGCAGCTACCTGACGGTCCTTGACCTTGGTGTAGCTCATATCTCAGAGGTTAAAAGCCACGTGAGGTAGGAATTACTACATCATCTTAATTTATTAGAACTAACGTAGAGAAATGGGACGCAGGTGGTGCTGTGGGTTAAACCACAGAGCCTAGGGCTTGCCAATCAGAAGGTTGGCAGTTCGAATCCCCACAATGGGGTGAGCTCCCGTTGTTCGGTCCCAGCTCCTGCCAACCTAGCAGTTTGAAAGCATGTCAAAGTGCAAGTAGATAAATAGGTACTGCTCTGGCGGGAAGGTAAATGGCATTTCTGTGTGGTGCTCTGGTTCGCCAGAAGCAGCTTAGTCCTGCTGGCCACATGACCCAGAAGCTGTAAGCCGGCTCCCTCAGCCAATAAAGAGAGATGAGCGCCGCAACCCCAGAATTGTCCGCGACTGGACTTAACTGTCAGGGGTGCTTTTACCTTTACCTTTTAAGGAAGATCCAGATATCTCCTGGAATGTAATGCCTTTCCAAATATTTGCGGCACTTGTTTTAAAAAAATCTAATCAAAATAACTTCCGTCTGCACTTTATATACAACATGCAAGCCTCACATGAGTCTTTATGCTGCCATCCCACTTCTCAGATGCCTACTGTACTCTACGCGAGTTACACCACTGGGCTGTGCCATTTATCTTACACCTTTCTGCTTCGGGCTTGCTAATGCTGCATTACCTTTTCATAAGCCCAAGATTGCCTGTCAAGGAGATCTGTAAAAGAAGGGCTGTCAGCGGATTTCCTCCACCACCCCGTCTCTCCCCACACACCCCTTTACCAGGAGACAAGCTGTATTAGTTGTGTGACAAGACCGCTCTTCTATTTTGGAAAGGAAGGATTTATTCCAGGGCTGTGCTCTCGTGCATGGCAACAGCCACATCACGATCGGCGTGCTGAGTTTGGCAGAGAATGGGGAAAGCATGCATTTTGCAAGACAACACAGTAGGTTGGCAATTCGGAATACAGGTGCCTGGAGGAGCTCCTTCCCTCACCCAGTGTTACAAATCACATTGGTCCTCAAGAGCATCTCAAGCTCACTAAATAACTACCGGCCCTTTCCACAACATGCACACCCAGCAGTGAGGGACGCACGTCTGTAAGGGACCATATAACACTGGTCCTGAAAGACCTTCATTGGCTCCCAGTACATTTCCGAGCACAATTCAAAGTGTTGGCACTGACCTTTAAAGCCCTAAATGGCCTCGGCCCAATATACCTGAAGGAGCATCTCCACCCCCATCATTCTGCCTGGACACTGAGGTCCCCTGCTGAGGGCCTTCTGGCAGCTCCCTCACTGCGAGAAGTGAGGTTACAGGGAACCAGGCAGAGGGCCTTCTTGGTGGTGGTGGCTGCCCTGTGGAATGCCCTCCCATCAGATGGCAAGGAAATAAACAACCAGCTGACTTTTAGAAGACATCTAAAGGCAGCCCTGTTTAGGGAAGTTTTTAGTGTTTGATGTTTTATTGTGTTTTTAATATTCTATTGGGAGCCGCCCAGAGTGGCTGGGGGAAAACAGCCAGGTGGGCGGGGTATAAATAATAATAATAATAAGTATTAGTAGTAGTAGTAGTAGTAGTAGTAGTAGTAGTCTGCCTCTCACAGGAAAACCCTCTCAGCATTCAAAGACCCTCAAGCAAAAATAAAGCAAAACATAGTTGTTTGTATCCTAACTAGGCTCCCCTGATCAGAAGGGCTGTGTGAGGAACCTATTACTCTGCATGACTACTATTAAGTATATTTTAACCACCACCGGTTATCTTTTGGATTTTGTGTGAGGGAAATCTTAGATACTTGGAGACTCAGGCCAAAGTTGAACCAATAAGAAATATTTATTTTACAGAATAAAGTGGATAAAACAAAGGCTGTATCAGGTGGTAATGTTATTTCAGGAAACAGTGAACTTATTAACAATTGTATTAAATCTAATGCAGGCTTCCTCAACCTCAGCACTCCAGATGTTTTTGGCCTACAACTCCCATGATCCCTAGCTAGCAGGACCAGTGGTCTGGGATGATGGGAACTGTAGTCTCAAAACATTTGGAGGGCCGAGGTTGAGGAAGCCTGATCGAATGGATGTTATAGGCTTCCAAACAAGGAAGTAAATGCATAGTTTTTTTCAACCTTCAATCGCTTAAGTTCAGTTATTACACTTCAGGTAGTTGTTAAAGGTTTCCAGACTAGGAAGAGAAGGAGGGAGGTGTTCATGGTGAGTTTCAGCACCTCTTTTTCTAGAAAAATAGCACTGAATGGAACATTTTCACCTGGCGCCGAAAAATATATAATGAAGGCGCCAGGCGAACTTTCCTGAGGAGAACATTCCACAAACAGGGTGCCAATACAGAGAAGGCCCCGTTCTTGTGTTGCCACCCTCCAGACCTCTCGAGGAGGAGTCACACAGAGAAGGGCCTCAGATGACGAATGCAGAGTCAGTGCTTGTTGAAAAATTGTGTTCAGAAACAGAATTAATCTGGAGCTGCCCAATCTGATCTTGAGATGATTCTTCAAATGAGCTAAGGGGACACAATAAATAGTCTTGAATAAAAATGTTTTTGGACAAAGGCATCACATTCACTTTCAACAGATTATTGACTACCCACACTCAGTTTGTGGAGGTGGGTGTGAATGTCGTGTAACAGAGACTGGTTTACAACTGCAAAAGGGAAATATATTTTTTCTGTAGGATCCCTAGAATTTGAGTAACCGAAACCCAGAAATCAATATGGACAAGGCACAAAGCAAACAAACATGCAAGGTGACTGCAGAAAGCCATTTTTTAAAAAAAACATAATCAGTGGAAGTTTTGTTGCACTCTCTGGGTATGAACCTGAACTGATTTGCTGCAAAATCCAAAAGGTAAACTAAATGCATTTATTTAGCATTGCGTGAGTGCACTAATTTCAGGCGCAGGCGTAAGGGAGTTTAATTATAACCATAGTTCCTTGGGAGTAGGATGCATTCAACTTAGTGAGACTTCTCGGTAAACATGCATAGGAATATAGCTAAATAAAACTGTTTCACTGAAGTGAGTTTAAGCAGACTTTACAGCCTTGACGCCAGAAAGCATCTTATGGAAAAGCTATCATTACTGTGAGGGTGAAACAACCCAACTGCCATATTTTAAAAACTACCGGTACATCCTTGAAAATGCTGTGAGAGAGACATCCTTGCCAAACATAAAGAAACCTGCTCCCAAGTAAATATTCAAATTTACTCAAAATACACTGGGATGAAAGCTGAAGGGTTTTGTTTGTTTGTTTGTTTGTTGCTAATGAAAAAGTATGAGGGTTGTTTATTTCACTTTCTTTCTTTTTTATTTTTTATTTTTTGATTTTATATGAGTTTATTTTCAACATACACACCCACACTTGTAAAACTGCATAATCAACTGTAAAACTGCATAATCAAAAGAAAAACAAACAAACAAAAAACAACAGACAAAACAACAAGAAACAAATGAAAAACAAAGGAATACAAATAATCCATAGTAACGTACGAAAACATATATAGAATAGATAATGAACAATATATATATATATATATATATATATATATATATATATACCATATTTCAGTTCTTCTTTTCTTCCAGTTGACTTCCTTCATCCTCTGCACGGTTCTCTTTTCATTTTTGGTAAACTGCCTCCTTCTTAATTCATTATTACCCCTTTTTTTTACAATTGTTAACTGAAGTACCATAAATTATCTTGCAGAAGTTAATCGATATTTCGCTTTCTTTCGCCCTCCTACCAAAAGGAAAGTCCCTCTGATGAATTTTCTCCAGATCCTTGCCTGGCACCACTCCCTCTACCCACAAGGCTAGGTCCAGAGGACAATAAATGAGGCAAAATGGCGGCCAGCTTGCCAGCTCAGCAGTTGTTGTTAACTACCACTCGCAAAAGGGGCTTCAAAATAAACCTTGGAGGGAAAGTGGATAGGAAGCTGCATGTGACACGGCTCTTGGTGAGCTCCTGCCTTGAGAAACTGTCAGAGAATTTCTCCTACTCCCTGGAGAAATTTAGTCCTCCCCTGAACAATTTCTCCACCCAAGAAGGGGTGTCCACAGCTCTGGTTCTATAGAGCTGGGGATTTCTTTGTATTTTCCTAAACACTTCTTAAATTTATATATGTTGTTAACAATTATCATACATTTTTGTTGTTGTTGTTTAGTCGTTTAGTCGTGTCTGACTCTTTGTGACCCCATGGACCAGAGCACGCCAGGCACTCCTGTCTTCCACTGCCTCCCGCAGTTTGGTCAAACTCATGTTGGTAGTTTCGATAACATTGTCCAACCATCTCGTCCTCTGTCATCCCCTTCTCCTTGTGCCCTCCATCTTTCCCAACATCAGGGTCTTTTCCAGGGAGTCTTTTCTTCTCATGAGGTGGCCAAAGTATTGGAGCCTCAGCTTCACGATCTGTCCTTCCAGTGAGCACTCAGGGCTGATTTCCTTCAGAATGGATAGGTTTGATCTTCTTGCAGTCCATGAGACTCTCAAGAGTCTCCTCCAGCACCATAATTCAAAAGCATCAATTCTTCAGCGATCAGCCTTCTTTATGGTCCAGCTCTCACTTCCATACATCACTGCTGGGAAAACCATAGCTTTAACTATATGGACCTTTGTCGGCAAGGTGATGTCTCTGCTTTTTAAGATGCTTAATTAATTAACACTGTGATTCTGTGCTTCTGTGGAATGCATATAGCACTTAATGACAAAACAGGCTTACTCTTCTACTCCACTATATTTCCAAAGAGCAGCTTATATATGATTTCCAGGGAGTCGTTCCTCCAGGACCATCCTTTCCTTGCTTCAGGGTGGGAACTGAGCAGTGGGTTATCAAACCATGGTCCAGCTTATCTTCTGCTCATTCATCTGCATGATTCCCCTTTTTGCCTAGTTTACAGGCCTACTTTACAGGCCCGTAGCCAGATAATATGTGCAAAGCACTTTGGACACTTCAAAGGAACTCTATAAATGCCAAGTATTCCTCATCTTTTGTATATTTACAAAAATGATATTTGCTTCCAAAAGGTCATACAGTTGTTCCACAAATACCACCACTGCTCTAATCTGACTGAGCCTACGGTTCTCAGATACACTAACAGATAATAAAAACAGTATGAATGTCATATGTTGTCACCATAAGTGATGATCGGATGCAGTCATGTATATATGTAATTGGGAGGAAAGGTTATTTGGACTTTTGGCCGGATAAGCAGGCAAACTATCCCATTGTGCTCTCTCAGATCAGGCTGTAAAACCATAACTTTTGTCCCTAACATTATTTTGAGTGTACTTTAAATATGTCCCAGCCCACAGTATAAATCTGTCTCTTATGCATGTGATCTTATTACCTTAAGATATAATTACACAGTGCTCCAAATATAAGGAACATGGCAGCTTTTTAAATTTTGTTTTTAAAGGTAGTAACTATCAATAGGCAATAGCCATTATTTTACAGCTCTGTATCATTAGCAGAACAATTACTGCAGAGGAGAGATGTTTTAGCACAATGCACACTCTTTTCTCCTTTAGATAATTGCATGAAAACATAAAACTCATGCTCATGATAATAAAGTGCTTGTGTGGCTGGTTTTAACTTTTCATATCATAGGTGCATGCTAATCCTTCCAATAGTTATCATTCCTCCTCGCTCCTCCCTAATCCTTCTTGGAGGAGCTTTGCCCAATTGGTACATACAATTCAGAGTCATAGAGTTTACTTTCTAGAATGCTCAGAATGTTTCAGTATGAGTATGTTTAGGGAAGCTTTTAATGTTTGATGCATTACTGTATTTTAATATTTTGTTGGGAAGCCGCCCAGAGTGGCTGGGGAAGCCCAGCCAGATGGGCGGAGTATAAATAATAAATTATTATTATTGAGTTCTCATACTGATCTGCAGTGTTAATGAACAGCAACAAGCAATGGTAACCATATAATTGACAATGGTTGTGCAGCATATATATATATATATATATATATATATATATATATATTTACTATCATCATTATTATTACAAATCTGTTGTAGCTTGGGTTTACTGTCACATCTTAGGGTAATTACCGTATTTTTCGCTCTATAAGATGCACCAGACTAC